TCATCCATGTCAATAAAGATATCAAACAAGCTGGGGCACGGTGACCACCACTGCCTTCTGCAACCTCCCAGCCCCAGCAGCCACTAGGATGTCCCTGGTGCAGCGACATTACCCGCTGTGCCAGGACGGGCCCCAGGCCCTCACACTCCTCCTTGGCACGGGCCATCAGTAAGCGAGCAGTGGTGGCCCCGTTGCTCAGCTCCAACTGCACAGCTGCCACCAGCCGGGCGCAGTCCTCACACAGGTCCCCAGTGTCCTGCAAGATGATAGCAGCACAACTCAGTGTCAAACGTAAACAGTTTTGCTCAAGGACCCTCATTAACCCAAAGCACCAGAACAGAACTGGATTATGGGCTGTAAAGGGAGGGGCAGTTATCAGTACCTGGGCATGAGGCAGGTCCTGGGGCTGGAGCAGGAGCGGAACACCATTGATGAAGGGCACAGCCAATTGGGCCAAGTCCTGTGCGGGATCAGCGGGGGCTGGTGGCTGTTCCTGGAACTTCAGGGCCCCTTCAAGGCCCCCCCGGGGTTGACACAACTTGATAGTGCCACACACCACCTTTGGGTCTGACTGTGGGAGTGAGGTAGCAGGCTGGGGCCATCACCATATCAACATTTATCCCCACACCAAAGCATCATTCCTATTTCCATCCTCTCCCTGCAGACGTATTGTCTACAGCCTTCCACATCATTACAGGGTTGTATTCCCCCATCATGCTCCCCACATTGTGTATCTCAAAGGGTTCCCTGCTGCACAGGTCCCCAGGCTGTTACCAGCACTTGCTTGCCCAGTTGGGCCAGGACGAGGACACCAGTGTCCACCATCTTCTTGCATTTGACTGACCAGTCCTGGAAGGGCAGATACTGACATCTCTTATCCAAGAAGATCCGCAGCTTTTCCTAGAGGAGAAGGGGAGCACTCAGCACTGGGCTGGCCCTGCAGACGCATGGGGAGACAGCAGCCCGTGCCCCCAGTGAGAACTCACCTCGGTGCAGTTGTCCTGCAGGATCTTGCCCATCATGGACACCACCACCTGGCACAGGTGGCATGGGATCCCTTTCTGCTGAGATAGAGAACAGATCAGGATGCTGTCTTAGCACCAGACTCTCTGTATCTTCCCACTTCCCACCCCTGGATTATGGGCAGGTCAATACCACACGTTCCCCCAGTTGCAGTTACCCCTACTGGTTGGTCCCAAACAGTGAGCCGGCACAGCTCCAGCACCCCGCACTTGGCTGCTGTCCCCACATCATGGCACCACTCCTCTGGCTGCTCGTCACACTCAGGGAGGGGGCTGGCCCCAGCTAGGGAAGGAGAGGGAAACATCAGCACTCAGGCACATACATGGATCCCCAGGGTGGCATAACCCCCAATCCATGGACTGCTAGCCTGCTTCATGCAAGCCTCCCATCCCATCTCCTTGCATCCCATCACATTCCATTGCATTTCTTCTCATCCCAACTCATTCTAGCCCATTCCATCGCATCAAATCCCATCACATTTCATCTCTTGTCATCCCACTCTTTCCCCTTTCATCCCATTCCATCTCACTGCATCCCACCTCATTCAATCCCATTCCACTCCATCCTATACATCACATCTCAATCATCCTATCACATTTAATCTCACCTCTTCTTATCCCGTCTCATCTCATTACATCCCACTTCATACCATCCCCTTCCATCTCATCCCATTGCATCCTAACTTATCTCTTTCCATTCCATCACACCCTCTTTCATACCATCACATTCTGTCTCATTCCCATCCTATCCGTCTCCTTGCTTCCCATTTCACCCAATCCCATCCCATTCCCAGCTACAAAGGCAGCAAGGAGCGATGCTATGCTGCTCATTCCTCCTGCCCTGACTCGCCTCAGCTTTCATAATACCATCATCTACTATTATTTTATCTCTGCCATGTGCTGCTTACACCCAAAGCTCACACAACCCCAACTCTGCCTCCTTCTCCTTTTGCAACATCATTTATTGCCCTCAATAAGGACAGGCGCACATCACAGCATCTTAAAATCACAGAGAATGTGAGGCACCTACAGCCTGGAAGGCTGAATACACCTGGTAAGGCGTCACCATAAAAAAAACACTCATAAATCTTGCAAAATGAATAATCCAGAGGTGACAGCATCGCTCTCACTCAGGCCAGGCATGGTGCAATGCCACCTGATAAGCACCTCCCACCATCAGTGTTTAATTGCCACCTCCACGTGTCAGGATGCATTTTGTGCAGGCACGACAGGGCAAGCAGCATCCCTCCACAAGCTGCATCTGCAGCAAAAGTGCTAGCACAGCTCTCTGCAGTGCTGCTGGGCTGCTCCAGGGCAGGGTGGGTCCGACAGGGACTGTTCCCATGGAATAGTCCCACACAGGCACACACTCAGCTGATGTAGGTACAGCAACAGTCTTTGAACAGGAACAGCAAGGCAGACAAGAGCTAAGGGGCAACCCCATTTAAAAGAAAAGAGACAAAGCATTGCAACCTCAAGCTGTTTCTGAGCTTACTATATATAAAAATACCTATTTATGATACACACATCTACATGGCTGAAAAAGGAGCACTGATGCTTTCCCCTAGCAAAATCCACCCTTTATTTTTTTAAGCCAGTTCTCCCTCTTGATGCTACTTTGATTAAGGAAAACAGGATTGCACTCAGAAATACGATGCCAGGGTTAGGAAAGGGAGGTGCACAGCCTCAGCATGAAGTGGCCCAAGATTCCATTTCCACCTGCCACATCCTCCCAGATCGGACAGCTGTCCATTTTAATCACTGTTTTCATGGATGTTGGGTCACCAGCTCATCCTGTGAGATGCTGAGTAAGCACGGAAGGGGTTGCACGCACCACACAACCCAAAAACACTGAGTGTGCACATTGGGATGGCCCAGCTTGACCCACGGACACGGCCCCACCTAATCCAACAGACGTGAACTGACTGACACACAGACATGGGCACCTCTACCAGCATCAGGCTGCAGAACAACCACACAAATGGTCCCCAGGTGGGAATGGCCCTCTGAAGGACAGGTAGGGATGGAATCACCGCTGTGCCTTGAGCACGTTGCAGGGCGCGGAGGAGCGTTCGTTCCACAGCTGAGCCTGCTGAGCCCGGAGAACCGGTTGTGGTGCAAGCCTGGGGGTGGCACGTGGGCCCTGCGCCCCAGTTACTAGCCAGGAAACACACTCCCCAAATGCAGCTTTTCCCCCAAAACCATCCAAGGATCTGGCCAAGAAGAGGTGATGTTAACATTGCTGGAGGGTTTTCTCACCAGCAACGAGGAAATGAGGAGTTGGCGAGCATGTGGAAGGGAGAGCTGCACTCCCTCCCACCGCAGGCTGCCTCCAACATGCTGAGCACACAGGTGAATTTTCCTGCTGGTCCTGTTGGTGGTAGGGAAGCTCCCAGCAGCCCATGCCCCCCCAGCACGTCCCATGCGGTGAGCACAACTCCACCACAGTGCCAGCACAGCACAGGTTGTGGAGCCCAATGGGAGGGTGGCCAAAATAAGTGCACAAAAGATCTTAAGTTCACCTTCCTGCATCTACAGAGCTCTGTGGCTTCCCCAAGGAATTTTCTCCTAAGTGCTTCCAACCCTCTTCCCTCCCCCTGTCAGCAAGTACCACTGGGTACAGAGTTTCAGCAGCTCTCCAACATTGCACCTGGTAACCCAGAGCTCACCAAGACCCAGCTAGGAAGCTCAGCAGAAAGAGCTTCCTGCTTCTCTACCCCCAACCCAACAGACAGCTGTGTGTGCTATTCTGGCTCCCCACAGTACAAGGAATGGCTCCCACAGCACACATCCACATCCAGGCCCAGCACAGAGGGCAGCAGCCAAGCTGCTGAGATTCCACATTGACTCATGCTCTTCAATCTCATCTCCTCCACACCCTTGAGCCCCTACAAAAACACCAGCTCTGCTGGCTCCTACGGGAATCATTTTCTGCCCTTAAAATTACCGTTCAGAGCAAAAACCAGAACGTTCAATTCCCAATGAACAGGAGTCAGAGCTCAACCCATTGGAGAGTGCCCAAAACCAGAGGACAAGGAAGCGTGCTATTGAGTTTCAACCTTTCTGATCCTTTCCAAGGAGGAACACGCTCAAGATAGCTTGGAACAGTTCTGGGGTTCAGAGGCATTTTCTGAGCTCTCTTGAGGAAAGAGCCCTGTGCGCAAGGCCTGACCTTACCTTGGTACGACCCCAAGCACACGGAGAGGATCAGCACCCAGCCTCTCCACTTGCTCGCCATGCTGTTCCCAAGACAGTCCTCAGTGCTGGTTATTCCCGTGCTTCTCCCAGACTGAGGAATCTTGGAACAGCTGGGAGAAGTAGTGAGAACCGACACCTACGCACAGCAATTACCACACCCCTCTTTATGCCCTGATTATAAAATCAGAGCAGCAGTATGCAAGCGGAGGGAGGGACCAGAGTCAGGCAGGTATTCCCAGGAGGTCAGAACCAACCAGGCTTCATTTCACAGCCCAGAACCCACTGCCCAAAGCTAGCACAGGTATTAGAGACCAGTAAGTTTATTCAAAAGAATCAATGGTGTCATTAAGCATTTATAAGAAATATATTGCAATCAAATAAAAACAAGGAGTGAAGACACAGGAGAGCCACGCTAAATGATAGCAGGCTTGAGTGCTGACTCGCAAACAGCTCCAGCAAGAACTCCCTCCTGGCCTTGCATGGGAATTGCGACACCTCAGTGTTACCTCACAGCAGGCATTGCGCTCATCCAGGGAAGAGACAAGCAGCAGCAATCCCTGGCAAGCCCACAGCTGCCCTCCATATAAAAAGGCTTGATGGGACACGCATGCTGCAACGCAAACCTGAATCCTGTCATTCAGCCTCAGGATTCCTGGCATCGCCCTGCCTTGCTGCAAAAGCTTCAGGTGACGATTTGGGACGTGCCCTCTTCTGCCTTTGAGGCAAAGGGACGCTGACAAGATCCTTCAGGAACTAGCACACACCAAGGGAACAACTGAGTTACCAGTTTACAGAGGTTTTTATTGTTCATTAAAGAAGCTTTTGTGCAAAAAAAAAAAATAATAATAAATCAAGACAATGTTCTTTAGAAAGCAACTGCATGTCCCCCCACACACGTAACTCAAGCAGGTCAGGTGCCACATTCCACAGGAAGTGAGAAAAAACTGAAGAGATTCCCAGCAGGAGCACAGGACTTCGCCCAGCTCACCTTGCCCTACAGGCTGCCAGCATGAGTCCTCCACTACTAAAAAACCCACAGGAATTACAACCTTGCCAGTTGATAAGAGCAAATGTCAATCCACCCCCCTAAAAGAAAAAAAAAAAAATCATTTTAAAAGATCCAATCCCATACTGCATGCTGCAGTGTGACAACCTGCACCTCTCCAGGGGCAGCCATGCTGAGGAGAGACCATCATCTACCTGGGACACTTACCCCTGCTGGGATACACCACTAGAAGCACTGCACAAGCCTGCCAAGATAGAAAGCTGCTGATATTGTACACCTTTAGAGGACTTTTTTTAAAGCAGGGAGTGCTTCAGAGTTCTGTACACAAACAGGAAAGATAAATCTGTCTCAGTATCTGTCAAGACCGCCCAGACATTCAGTGTGTACAAGTAGTAAGAAAAAGATGCAGTTGAGTGGTTTTCAATTCAACCCCATGAAAATGAGTTTGCTTGCTCCTGAAGCCCTATTAGCAGAGCTCCCGTCTCACCCGAGGCGCTGCACAAAGAGGAGCAGTTGCCAGCACTTTCTGAACAGGACTGGAGTTTTCAAAGCTCCACACAGCCCAGCTTCTCCTTCCCAGAGGACTCTCCAGTGCTACTCTTGTGCCTTCTGAGGAGTTACCTTGTTCAGAATTTAGCACATAAAGCCGGTAAAAGGTCTGTCTTGAACAACATAAGCATGATTCTCATCCTGAAAGCCCCTACCTCAAGGGCCTGACTTGTTTTCAGGGTAGCAGTCTGCCTTAAAAGTCTTCTGTTCAAAGGTTCAGATAATTTCAGTGTGATGTTTTCCTGCTGTGCCACTGTGAAAGGCTGCCAGGCATGCCAGCAAAGCTGTAAAATACCTGCAACAGCATTCTCACTCTCTGCCATCTCCACTTGCAACTCAGGTGCATTTCCCAATAGAAATGGGAACTCTGAGAAAAGAGAAAGTTATACTTCAAACTACTCAGGAGGATGAATGTCACTGAGAATGGGTGGCAGCAGTGGGAACTACCTGCAAGCCTAACAGTACCTCTGAAGCTTTAAGATTACTGGAATACGCCACGAGAGAAAACCAAAAGCAAGGAACGAAACAGCATTTTACAGTAAAACCATCTCCCACACGTTCTGCCTGCTAAACTGTACAGGCTTTCACATACATGGAGCCCCTGCTGACTTTTTCACCTCCATCTCCTATCGAGTCAGTTTGCTCTACCTCCTTAGCACCAGGCTGGCTGCACGTAGCAAGCTGTAAGATGAAGCAGAATCGGTGAGCAAGTAGGGGGGAAAAAAAAAAGGGGGGGAGGCATTCCTTAAGTGTGTCAGCATGCTTGAAAAGACTGAACTGTTCAGAGCTTGACAAGAGAACACCCATGTTGAAGCTGAGCGGTCCAAGGAAATAAAAAGAACATGATCTAATGTTGAGGGTTTTCCCTGGCTATGACAACACTACAAGTCTTAAGTGTGACCACTCAAGTGCAAATGTAACCTTTTTATATACTGGTTGCTTTGAAAGTTTGCTGGGCACATCAAGTCCCCTTTCCTGTATCTGTAAAGCTTTGAAAACTCCAGCTGAAGGAATTCCAGGATTCAACATCATCCCTTAGGGTTCCCCAACAGTAAGCACAAAACTAGTACTCCAGACAGATGTTAAACACAACATGTCATCTTCCCAAAGCTGGCTACAGAAAGATATTTAAAAGTTTAGTCACTATCTTTTCTTTTTTAAATTAAAAGATAAGAGATCATTTCATCTTTCATCATTCTTCCCAGCACCTAAAAAAACTTCAGCCTACCAATTAAAATCTACAACACACTGACTATTTTCAGGAGCATAATGAGTTAAACTGTACAGCCAGAAATATCTTTGTTAAGTCAACAATGAAGATCTGATCCTTCAACAGCAGCACTGCTACAGAAGAGTTACAATAAAGGAACTTGAAGGTCAAATTGTTAACGAGGCAGAGAGGAGGGACATTTGAGATACAGCTCTCCAGCCTCAGTCCACGTTTTTATGAGCCATGGCAAACTTTCAGTACTGGAAAATACTTCTAGTTCCACACGTGACGTCTGCAGTGATCAACAGCCTGCAGGGAAAAAAAAAATGGTATATGTGAGTGGAAAAAAGCCTGTTAGAGGACAAGTGAGTACTTACTTACACAATTAACACCTTACTCTGAACTAAGATTTTGGAACAAAAAACATTTCTTAAAATAAGTGGTTCCATAGAGGACTACAATAAACTGTATTTTTATCCCCCAGTCAGAAACAATGATCCTCAGTCTTTAAGGCCTGGCAGGGAAAGCATCAATCCACAACAATACTGAAAGCCAACTTTTAGAGCCTGAACACAGGTTGTGACAAGGCTTTATGGATCTTGGAACACAGAAAATACTCATACTGCATACAAAGCTCATACTGCAGCTTACTGTGCATTCCTATTCATTCTCCTATGAAAAAACATAGACGGAATTGGGCTTGTTTAGCCTGGAGTAGAAAAGGCTCCAGGGACACTTCACTGTGGCCTTCCAATATTCGAAGAGAGCCTATAAACAGGAGGAGGTATGTCTGTTTGTGAGGGTGTATAGTGATAGGACAAGGGAGAATGGTTTTAAACTGAGACAGGAGAGGTTTAGGTTAGGTATTAGGAGGAAGTGACACATTGGAACAGGTTGCCCAAGGAGGTTGTGGATGCCCCATCCCTGAAGGCATTCAAGGCCAGGCTGGATGTGCCTCTGGACAGCCTGGTCTGGTGGTTGGTGACCCTGCACATGACAGGGGGGTTGAAACTAGATGATCATTGTAGTCCCTTTCAACCCAGGCCACGGGTTGAAAATCCATGACACTGATTCCAAAATGCTTGCACAGTAATAAATAGGAAGGAATAAGGGAGGAACAGCGTGCTTTGAGAAAACTAAGGGCTATGGAAGAACCTCTAATGAAACTCAGCACCTACCTAAGAATTTACCCACTTAGTGTGCTACAGAAGCTGGCAAATTAGTTTTTAAGGAGGTTTTCAAAGACAATTGGAAATTCAAGGTTTTACGTACGTTGCACTGAGCAGCAGTCTCCATGTTCTTACACCAGTAACCTGGACCCCAAACACAAGCATCATCCCCTAGGAGAGGCTTTTTAGCTGCTCCACAGACTCCTAATTTCTGTGAAAAGAACAGCAGTAGTCAGTATGAATCAGCACCAAAACATTTAGACTCCTGTCTTATGTCTGAGCTTTTACCTAACAAAGTGCAGGAGCCCAAAGGCAATGCTGAGGCAGCTTCAAGAGCAAACACAGCACTGTCCTCAGCTGACAATTGCAGTCATGGTTGCAGCTGAATCAGTAGACTCAAAGCAGCAATATAACACCAGGAAAAATTAAGTTACTACAACTTTTTCATATTAAGTATTGTGAAACAGCTTCTAGAAAGGGATCGTTCTCAACAAATGTCATTTAACTTCCTGTCATCCCATTCAGGACACACCATGCTTGTTACTGAACCTGAACAGTGGATAACCACTGGCAGTTCTTTTCTTCTGTCCTTCTTTACACAAGGCTGGCAGTCAAACAGCTGTCCATTCATTAAGCCCAAGGCCTTGCACAAGTGAATTTGCTCAAAGCATTCAGCACACTAATTTTTATTCCAACAGAGTTTCTGCTTGCTACACGCTGAAAAGCATAGAGAAGAGTAGGCAGGACTGTATCAGAGCCCATCCTGAATAGAACTAAACACGATACTCACAGTGCAAACAAAAGTGGGATCCATCATCTCTGCCAAGAGTTGTACAACCACAGGTTCATACTGTTCCACAAACTGAACACACTGTAATAAAGCACAGGTTGGGAGATTTTCCCATTAAGGCCTTAAAAAGATCACAGTAATATAGAGTCTTTAGCAAGCCGACCCATAATCTATTTCTCCAACCACTCCAATAACACACTCTAAACCAATAAACTAGAGACTCCAGCTCCGCAGATCAGAAGATTCAGCATGGCATTCACCCCACAACAAAATAATTTTTGGTTAGTTCATACCTGCCTGTAGTCACAATTGAGTATGGAAAAGAGCTGCGCTGAGAAAGTGGTCAAAAAAGCAACACATGCTTTGATGTGCAACACTCAGTCTCTTGACAGTGGAGCTTACCAACGTCTCGGGGAAAGCACGCTCAAGCTGAAGACAAACATCCTGAACAGGATCACAGCAATGCACTAATGATGGCTCTTAAGCTTCTTTAACCCAAGCAGTAACCATCCACTCTGGCAACTGCAGAAGTGCTTCCCATCACTAGCAGTCAGCCCTCTAGTGGAGAGGCCAACTCTGAAGCACAGACACGCTGGCAGTCTCAGCAGAGACTAACGGCACCAATTAATAAGCCAACCACAGCTATTAAACAGCCTCACAGCAGTTAGCAGGAACAGCTATTTCATGGCTACTTCAACCCTGCATATAATATGCCTGCTAAGCTTATAAGCAGTTGACACTCAGCAGTCACCTAGTAAGATTTCCAGGTAAACCTTGACAGCAACAGTGTAACAGGCATTGCCTTTTACTATCTCACTGGAATTATGCCAGCTAACATCCAGTTACTTTGTTAATCCCCCTAACAGGATCCTTGTTGAGATAGGAAGGGAAAAAACCCTTCAGCTGCCTCCACCCACTGTTCTCAGAGGATTTCCAGGCAGACCTTTATTGACTACAAATTAGTACAGCAGCCAGCCAGTCAAGACCTTGGAAGTCTCAATCCATTCAGACTGCCAACCCCTCTAAGGATATGGAATGCGAAAATCTAGTCTGCCCACACCAAGTCCTTCCAGTCTCTGCAGAAGGAGATTCCTCCAACTCTGACACAAGTCACACTGATTATATCCTTATAAGAACCACCCCGAGGTACTACTACACTCCAGCCTTCCCACGTTCTCTGCTTCATTCTTCTGTTCATCTTTACCTTGCATTGATCGGAAGGCAGGCTGTCCACACAGCCAGGACTGCCCAGATCAGGCCTGCTGCCTTCATACTCCCCCCACAGATTGGCTCTGCGACTTCTTCCTGCTGCCTGCTTGCTGCCCAAGGCTGGCCACACTGCTGCTGCTCTCCTCCCCTGCTGCTTTTGCCTCAGACCTTTGAAACGCTGTGCAGTGGAACTGCTGCTGGATCCTGGTGGTGACCATCCCCACTTTACATGATTCTCACATCTCTCCTATCTTTTCTATCGCCCTCCTTCCCTTCCCCATCTCCCTGAATAGGATTTATAATCTGGTCAGACCAACATTCGATTTGTTGTTTCTTAATCTCACACTGGGTATATAGATATTAAAAGAACCTCATCTCCCCCCTACAAATTGGAGTGAGACGATGTCAGAGCTTGCTCTGCCTTTGTGCCGAATAGAGAAGAAAAAATCCTAAGGATTGGGTGGCTGAACCAAATCAGTTCCAGCTGCATGTGCTGACATTTCATTTTCAGCCTTGGACTGTGCACAGAATTGCTTTTTAGCCTGCCCCTATGCAGATGCTTTACCTGATCACTGACAGACTCTGGTAAGAAGTGACAGACTTTTTCCAGTAAAGCCTCAATCTCAGTTGTTGTGGCATTCTTCTCAAGTTCTTTGTCTGCATAAGCTACTACCATCTTGCAGATATCACAGAAGCCACCTGCGGGTTTCACCACAACTGAGAAAGAAAAAAAAAAAACCACTTAGGTAGTTCTCCCAGCAGAAGAAAGGAGGCAGCACTAGGCAAAGGATGATAGGACGAATCCACACAGAATATAATCACAGGTTAACAAGCTCATACTGCAACAATACTAAGTCTTCTTTACCGACCTGGCTGCTGCGGAGGCTTGTTGGCTGCACAGCATTTCAGCATAACACACACAGCCTCAGGATTTGTCGCTTCCAGGAGCATATCAATCAAAGCCTGGCCATAGACCTCTATGAAGTCCTTACACTGATCTTTGACACTTGCTGGGAGCAGGTAGCAGACGACCTCCATTTCATGCACAATCTCCTCCTGGAGGACAAGGAAGCACGAGTTGCAAATAACAGACACAAACATCCATCTGTTCAAATCTATTTGCTTCCTCTGTCCTAGCAAACAAGGAGAAAACTCTTGCTCTCATGAAGCTGAGCTTTCTTTCTCCCTCTAAACCAATAACAATAAAGGCCCATTTTAGCCAAAGCCTTGGCAGGGGTACCATTTTCATCACTTACACACCTCTGTCTTGTTGCTCTCCAACAGGCCAGTCACTTCTTTCACCATCGTCTCACAGATTTCACACACAGAAAAAGTCTTCTCTTGAACTGCAGCTTTCTGAGAATATAAACATTCATACAAAACAATAAATCAACACCAGACCACATTTGACAGTACAATTCATAAAAGATCAGTCCAACAGCACTTACATTCAGGACTGGCATACTGAGCCCTTTACCTAGCTAGCCAGTTTGAGCTAGATTCAAGAGGTCTTGCACAGCCCCAAAACCTCAAAGATCTTTATAAAATGCTTTTTTGTATGAAAACTTATTTTGTATGATTATTTAAGACCACAGTTCTCAGGTTGCATGAGGCAGAGAGTTAAATCTAGCAAAAATAAGCACTGCCATGGTGACTGGAGTCAAGGGAAACACAAAGTATTTCTTAAAACACATTAACAGAACAAAATCTACTAGAATTGAGAGCATCCTCCTGTTTGGGTCTTAAAAAAAAAAACACAGAGGGATTTCAGGGAAATTATTTGGAGACTGTTTATCAGAAGTTGGCTGTATGCAAAAGAGACTGGGGGAAAAAAAAAAAACTCATCTCATTGCTTAACTTAAAGGCTGTGGAAAGATAATAAATGCATCGGCTCCCTTCTACTTTACAGACCAGCCTCAAAAACACAGCCCAGGATTTTATATGCAGGGAGACTTGGATTATACAGCACATACAAGCATTTACTTTGTTTCACCTCGTTCATTACAGTAAAGCAAAAAAGGGTAGCAAAGCTTTTGAATACAAAGTCATCCATCTTACCTCCACAGTTTCCATTTTCACTTCATGAACCACTTGAGCTGGCACCAGAGTCTGAAGGGGAACAGATTTCACAGAAGGACAGAATCCAACCATGGCACAAATATCCTTTGGTTGCTGGAAAGAGAGTTGTAGTAACTTTTAAAAGTCTAGAAGATGCACCCCTTTTTATGGAGCCTGTGGGAGCGCCAAGAGAACACAAGACACACCTTTATTAAAAGGCTCCAACACAACTATTGGTTTCAGGACTACTTAAGTATGCCAAAGCATTTGGTATGGTTACAGGCAGAACAGCTACCAAACCAAATTTAGCAGCTCCCTTAAAAGAAGAGGAGCTTAGGCCACATCCACTTCAAAACCCATTTACCAAGAGCTAATATGCTATATGCAAGCCCTTCAAAGGAGTTGACTTAAGATGTACCAACACCAAAACAGGTCACCACCACCACCCCCTTAGATCTGCATCCATAGGCTGCTCCCCTGAAAGCCCCAAGTTGTTACAGAAAAGGTTCATTTTGCTGACAAGTTCACCCAAGAACTGGACGAAATGCTCTGAAGAAAGGATTCCTCCTCTTTCACAAACTACCTTCTTTAAAGCATCCAGTAACATCACATTTTGAAAACAGAAACACATTCCTGTATTACTGAACACTATAAGCCTATAATGAGCAAAAGTTAACCATGTTAAAAACTAAGCCTAACCCTACCCTTTTTTTTTTTTTTAAAGTATATGCAATTCTACATTCAAAGCGTTCTTCTCACAGCCATAAGAGCATAAGACAAAGCCATTAAAAAGGCTTTCTAGTGTCTCAGACGTTACTAAATGCAGAAACAGATCCCGAACATGAGGCAAATACACTGCTGTAAGGAGGTCATACTGCACCTACACAAGGCGAGAAAGGCTTTTCAGAGAATCATGCAAAACTTGAGTTCCCCCTCCCCTTTGAGTCTATGTAAGATTTTTACAAAGTTACCTTTAGTCCTACAGATAACTAGAAGGTCATACCCACCCAACTGGCCAAGTCATCGAGCTTATTACAGCAGAGGCTTACGCAACATCACGCCATAACCTCATGCACAGGCAAAAGCAGTATCTCAGACTTACAGCGATGCTTCAGGCTACTCCAGACAGTACCTTTAAGTCAAGCCCTTTGATTCATGCGTCGTTATAAGCATTTCCTTAACATTAATGTTAAAACAACATCCACACGCACAGTGTTCTCTCTCAAAGAGATGACAGACACAAGGTCTCCCAGGAGCAGTTAAACTGAAAGCCCAAACAGCTCTAAGAAGCAGAAGCCTAAAGGCCTCCTGCAGCTTTCCCTTTGATTTGTGTATTCGGAGCATCTAATATGATAGGTCACAAAGAGAACACAAAGGTGACCCAAAGATAGCCAAACTCAAGCCCTTTTGAGCCCAAACATTACACCAGAAGCTAACAAGCCGCTGGCTCGCTCTTCCCACTTCTATCTCACATGAAAGCGAGCACATTATCTGCTCTACCAGCCAAAGCATAACCAAGTTGATATCTTGGTACTACAGACTGGTATGCAGAGCTGGAAGACAGACCAATCAATTGGCGAAAGACTGAAGTCTTTCCCTGCTGTCATCACATAAGCATCCCTTGTATCTGTCAAAACTGAGTGCACTCACACCACGTACACAGCTAATAGAGCAAGAAGTGAACTACCAGCCCTTTAAGAGTAGCAAGTGAACTACAAGCAGGCTACCACCACAGGCAAGTTATTCACCTACCTGATCTTTCTGTTGACAAAGAAAATGGGAGACAGAAGAAGATAGGAGAAATTAAAGATAACAGTTAAGAAAAAAATTGTCAAGCATTTAAACTGCATACTCTTTCCACAAAGAAAATGGAGGGTGACAGTGCACAACCCCCAAGATACACTTATCTCCAACACTTACTTGAATCAATTTTGCAACGCTAACTGTGACAGAGACATTATTTGTATACAGTATTTGAGGGGAAAAGTGGTATAAGTACAGGACTGAGATAGTCATGCATAATGTACATAAAGCATCTTCCTCCGTATCTCTGGCGTGCCTTTTGCACTACTGAAGCAGTTGCGGAAGAAGAGGAAAGGGCTGAAGCAAACTGGGAGTGAGGTTGTTACCCAATTAAATGCCAAATTCCAAGTGTTACTACCAACACTTACAGAGCAGACTCTACCCACCTCCACTACAAAAAGCATTTCCTGTTTCCAAATAAGCTAGCTACACATAGCAGAAAAATGAACTGAGATCAAATATCACATTTTACTGATCTTACCATGTGCATCATCATCTGGATGGCCAAGTCAGAATATTCAGAGATATAGCTCTTGCACTGCAGGAAGTGAGAAAAGAAAGCCTTGCTGTCATTCTCAGGGCACTTAAGCTGCAGGGCTAACCTAAAATTTTCTAATACTTTCTAAAGCATTAATTTACCTGCTCTACTTAATACCTACACTGTTATCTTTCACAGCTTGTCCCAAGCATAAGATGGCATTTCAGGTTACACAATCATTGCCCACATACCTGCTTATCTAATGAGTCCTTCCATGCCTCCCAGGGAAAAAGCACCCCTCTGTACTTCTCTGACCCCATTACACTTACAGATGATTTTTTATGAAATGCATCTTTAAAGCCTCTCAGTCATCTTGAGCCTCTTTCTGTCCCCTCCACTCCCATTAACCCCCCCCCCCTCCCACCACCACTGCTACTTACTGGACCAAAAAGCTGATATTTCAATGTTAAGTCACTGTTATACAGCATAACATGCACCAAATATCACACATGCTCCTTGGTTATATTATAGAATAACCAAGGAGGCTAAGGCACCGATCAAATGTTTTATGTTTACACTGAGAAACAATTTTTTAAACAGAAGGATAACTTACCATATCAGACATCCCAGGTCCAAGGCGGTCACATTCTTCCTTGGCATGAGCAACTAAGGACTTCACAAAAGTTGCATTTGTCCTCACAGCCTCCTGAACATCAGTAACCAGCCGAATGCAGTCCTGGCATACATCCTCAGTTCCCTGGACCAAGAGTGAAAAGAAGTTGACACATCCTCACATAGCCATTGAATCTTCTCAAGTGCGGTACTAAGCTTTAATAGTTATTTTAAGCTATATATAAACCTTAATTAATACCACACAGAATACTTACAAGCCCAACCTCACATGAAAAGACACATTCCTGTTGGTATGTACACCAGCCACTAGATGGAGATTAGGTACACACAGCTCTGAAACTTGATATAACAGCTGAGATATCCAATCACCAGAGCCTCTTGGTTTTGATACTAGATGACAGGGGGAAGGTTTCTAAATTTGGCATAGATCTCCCTCCTCCACCCACAAGAGCAGGTTTTACATCCACCCAGCTGTTCAGTGCCCCTATCTAAGTTCATTATCAGACTCAGCCTCTACTCCCAAGTTCATAATCTCATCTACAACGCTCTGTCAGCTATTCATTCTCTTCTGATCCAGTCTGTCACCTCCAGATTCAGAGACAAACGCTTTCTCTGAAGGGCACAGCCAGGAGACTAATCAGAACATGGGGGAATCTCTCTTCTTCCTTTGAACACTTTCTTGGAAGAAACAATTTTAAGTAAGACCTGTCTGACTACTATGGTCCTGGATGGGAAAAGCCCAGCACAAGACTTAATTGCTTAGACTGCAGCTATTAATCCAAGCTAATATAGATGGTCCATAGTGGCTGCAGCTATTAGCTTACTCAGCTTTAAATTCACAAGGAAGAAAAGATAGCTGTACAGGTATATGCAGAAGCACAAAATTCACTAGGAGACTTCACTCAGGTGAAGAACATCTATGCCCAGGATGAAAATCCCTTACCAAGAATCACCAATGAATTCTTACACAAACTGACACTTTTCCTTCACAGTGTAATAGCACTGAACCCTTACCTTAGACTTCTGCTTGGGTTTGTCTTGAGGGTAAAGGAGAAGGGGCACATTAGCCATGAATGGAGATGTCAGTTCAGAGAAGTCCAGCTCTGGTATCTTATTGGACTGAAGCTGTTTCTGAAGCTTCATTGCTGCAAGATGCTTCTGAAGGGACTGGCACAGTGAGAGGGCACTACACACAACTTCAGGTTTATCCTAGGGGAGATAAGATATGTGCATAAAGCACTGGAATGACTGCACTGTTACATGATGTTCAGAGTAGACAGCTGTTCTACTGAAGCAGGAAAACAGTTCCCAATAAGGAAGTTGTCTTCAAATGTAAAGAAGTGCAACACAAGTAACCCATACAGAACCAAAGGACCACATGCACAATCCTGTATGGAAAACTCAAACATGAACAACAGCAGTTTTCAATTCAAACAGTTACAGATTGTTGTTTACTTACGAATTCTTCTTTGATCATGTCCATGATAACTGGTAGGTAGGAGTCCACAATTTCCTTGCACTCAGAGGCCAGGCCTTGGTCAGGAAGAAACTCGCATGTCTTTTCCAAGTAAGAGCGAATCTCATCCTAATAAAAGATAAGGCAAGCCATAGATTATCTAAACCTACATATCAAAAGCTCTTTCCACTCCCAAAATGCATTTTATGAGGCCTAAAGACAGCCCTTGGACTCAGGTAGATCTAGGCAGCCAGCAAGCCAAATTAGAATAAGATTTTGCATTATAGCTTTTTGCCCAATCTTGGACCTTCAATGAAACCCTACCAAAGAGAAAACATGAAATACATCCTACAAGGCCCATACAACATGCCCTTATTACCACAAGCCATTTACACTAAATAGGAAGTGAAATTACAAGCTAGCACGACAGTGATCTTTTCCTCACTAAGTTCTCTGAATTCATGAAAGCTAAAGGGAAGCGGTCACATAGCCAAAATAAAGCCCATCTTACTTGCTTTCCTCATCCACTTCTACATTATCACACCCCTCAAGATTAATGGCCCACTAACACGAGAACAATTCTATCTATAGACAATCAGGGATGTGTTAGGGAAGGCTCTAGAATTTGCTAATCTCTAAACCAGAAAAAATGGTTTAAAAGCCATATTCTGTGTAATCCATCCCCTTTCAACACTTGCTGTTCATACTGGGAAATATTCTTGCAGAATATTCTTATACCCCTTCACCTTGAGACTTTATTATGACAAAGAAATGAACAAGTGCCTTGGAGAAAGGAGAAGAGCTCAGCTTACCTCTGTGCCATTGTCCTTCAAAACCTTGCCAACCACTGTTACAAGTTCCTTGCATAAATCACAGGGGATGCTGTTCTAGGGAGAGAAGAATAAGAGTTAACTGGAGACAGAATTAAGGTGCCTGTAAATGCAGTTTGCAAATATGAATGCAAAGAATGAGCACCACATCCATATTTTAAATTAAAGAGGTATTGGCTGGAACTAAGGTGGAAGCAGAGACACTTCAAAACAGAGCAAGGCCATTCTGAGCATGCCCAACACCAGCTTCTTCAGTTCTGAAGAAGCAGGTTTGTCATCACTATTACCTCACCTAGTCACAGCACATTTGAAAGGTAAAGTATGTTGACTTGAGATGTCATCTCCTGAACCTGTTTTACCTTTCTATTTGAAAAGTCTAGATTTCCAAAGATCAGGGACAAAAATAATAATTTTTAATCAGATTCACATTAATTATTTTGTGTCAAGTAAACTTGGAACAGAGTAGAGAATACAAACTTGCAGTCTAAAGATAGAGCAAAACACAAATGCATAAGAAATTACTTAAGTTCACACATACTAGAAGCATAGGAACTTTTAAGGCAGATTCATTCATTTTAATTACACTTAACCATTCTAACATTCCTCCTTTCCCTACTTTTTCACAAGCTGAAACACATTTGGGCACACAGGTAGGCAAAGTGGTTTGGATGTACCTGCGTACAAATGGCCTTTGCCTTAGAAAGCTGTGAAACAACACCACAAGCTACAGCTGTATCCATTAAAGCAGCACTCACATTTAGCACCACTTTAAGAGCCATACTACATATAACAACTGTACACTTATTTACTGTCAGGGCTTTCCTAATTTAGCACAAGCTATATCTTTTGTGGAACATCATACTGTGAGAAAGACCCAAGCAATCACACAGCTGTTATTTTTTAACTAAACCTACCAGCTTGGAATAAAATTCTTGGCTCAGAATAAAAAAGGGCCCTATGAATTATGAATCGCCTTACTGAAGAGGATCAAGTCTGAAACCCACTAGCTCCATTCCACGTGCTGCACTGTGCAACAGGTCACATGAGGAGTCAGCAGACAGGTTGCACAAGGCCACAAAATGGAAAGCAACCCTTATCTGGCACCCGAATTAACTCACAGCAACCACGGTCTGATGTAGCACTTAACCGCAATCAGACCCGAAAATCTTCAGCATATGGAAACCAGCTACCCAAACTACCCTGGGCAGGCAGCTCAGCAGTTGATACTTACTACAGTAGGCTTGCTCCAGACATTCTGCTGGCAGTGCTTCACCGCTCCACACTGCGACGCTGTGCGAAGACTCTGACACCAGACTTCTGGACCCTTCACACAGTCCTTCTGCCACAAAACAGGGCTGGCCACAGCTGCCAAGAGAGAATCACGCTTTCACAGTTGCACATTAGAATGATTTCCACTTCAGTGTAAACAGTTCAGTGCTGCGCTGTGTAATTATGCCCTTTCCATTACGCCACTTCAGTTTACTAATACTTTTAAGCAGATTTCAATCCAGTAATTTCTATTCTGAGATGTCAGGATGAGTCCCAAACACCAACAGCACAGCCAACTCTAGGAAAGCAGCTGATCTTCAGGCAGCTCCCCTAAAGACACGTAAGAGACCTGGACTATTAGTAATAAGGCAAGATCATCAAGCTCACTTCCTAGCTAATTTTAAGTATTTTAATTGTTTACTATGCTGGTTTGCAAATGCCACTGGAGCAGACACTCAGCTTCACCCAGTTTTCTCAACCCACCTTGCCTGTAGGTCAGCTCAATCTTCCAGGCTTCAGTAACCAATGAAGAAACAGCTCCTGAAATCCCACAGCAGGCACACTCCTATGGAACCAGCCATGGTTACCCTAAAGAGCACTGCTGTCATTTTTTGTAGGGCTGTTAGAAGCCTGTTCAAACCTATCAGCTGGATAGGTGCTATTCAGGAGCCATTATTTCTACATCAGTGCTGTTTACACATCACAAAATGCTGTAAAATTACACTGACCACTAAGAAGCACAAATTAAGCTACAAAGCTTCTAGTGAGGTTATGACAAGCAAATAATCACGTTTCTGCTTCTCACATCGCGGTTCTGAGCAATTAGAGGATCAGCTTCACAGCTGAGTTACCAACACATCTGCTAGGTACATAGCCAGCACACATCAAGTAGAGCCGAATACACAGTGCTTTATGGGTGACAGTCCACAGCCTTTTCAGCTGTTCCTCTCTAAAGCCTGTTTACACTGGATTTCACAGAGGAGTGACCCATTTACTTTAAGAAAAATGTGCCTGGCGTACTTAAAACCTCTACACAAGAGCAAGAAGTTTGCCACGCTCTCCCCCCAGGAAAAGGCTAAGATTGCACATCATTTTTCAGCAAAACTGCACCCTAGGACTGCTGGTAAGACTTCTAAACTTGTAAAAGTGGGTGGTCGGCCAAATGCTCACAGAGGGCCTGTTGTAACACACAGCACACTCTCCATGCACCATCCATCTGGAATCACCAGCAAGAGTTTAGTTTCAAAGTCAGACTGGAAAGTCAAATAGCTGTCAGCTCTTGGCTGGATGACAAGCAGCAAGGCCAAGGAAAGCAATTCATCCCTTTCAGATACAGGTTAGTGAACAGTGGGAAGAAGCTCTGCAAGGAAGAGTAAAGCCTGGCTAAAATCAAGCACGACCTTGACTTTAAACAGAGGAACTAAGGACTTTCAACTATTTACTTGTAAAGAATTAGCCTATGCCTTTTGTTCTATACTTCAAAAGAAAATTACCCCCTTACCCCTGTTTGAAACATACTGCAAAGCTACAAAACTAAACTGAAATACTAAACTACAAGAGTTATAAAAAGCAGTTTCTCAAACTCTCAATCTAATAGCCCGTTCAAAGCCCAAACCCAGGCAATCCCACAGCAACTCGTTCTGGTTCAATCCAGCTCATAACCAACTTCCAATTTTTGTTTGGCTTTCTGCTTTAATGTGCCTATCACACTGCAGGATCCATACCAGCTCCAGGCCAGAAGAAATACCACACCACCAGTATTTAAAGCCTTCCCTCCTGCAGCAAGACAGTATGCCAGCAGACCTACATGGCTCTTCCACATTCAGAAAACAGATGGAAGTCTTTTAACACTCCCACAACTTTTGCTTTTAGCTTGTTCTCATATCTCTGAGCTAGCATTTTTCTTCCCCTCATATATTCACAACCAAAGCAAATGTTCCAGTCTGTGTGCTAGCTCCCAACAGAACAGTTCCCATGCCTTCTCCCCCAACAGCCTCTGCACTGACACGTGATGCCTGCAGCAACCCAGGAGAAAACAAAGCACAGTCAGTTACCTCACACAACTCCTAATGCTTGCTGGATAAACTCAATGGGATTACCTTCTTAGTTATCTCTGGCATCCCTTTATTTTACACATTGTTCTTCATCTACTTGAGGTCATCCATTTTTAAATAGATGTCTCCTTTCTCTGTAGATTAGCTGCCATGCCCATCCAACCCTGCCCCCCACTTCCATGAAGTTGTTACACACCACTGTTTTTAGAGCACCACACAAGCTTATCTGTGAAGGCCAGGGTGTTTCAGAAATCATCCCCTTCACTGGTTCCTCCCTTTTCCAGCTGGCTTCTTCCAATTTAGAAGGCAAAGGGCCATTGTGCAACTAAATTAAACAATTAGAGAAAATTGAAGGGGAAGGAGAAGGGGGAGGTGAAAATGCACCCCCCATACCAAATTAAGGGGCTTTCACTTGTAAAAGACTTGAGCTTTCAGGCCTGCAGCCAAGCTGACAGTCTGCAGGCACCCCAGGACCGTTGCAGCTTCTCCATCCCAAAGATGAGAGCTTCATACGCATGCTGACCTCTCCGATGCTCATTCCTGACAAACAACAGAAGCTGTCTCCCAGAAACAGCGTTGCCTCAGAAACACAGCCTGAAGCCCAACAACGTACCAAGACTCTCCAAAAGCTGAAAAGCAGCAGCAATCCTTTCTTGAAGGCTCAGGTCAGTAACCTAACTCTGCTAGAATATCACTAACACAGTCCAAAAAGCAGCAGTTACTGTACCTCACATGGGGCCTGCCAAGGAGCTCACACAAAAGCCAGTTTAAGGACTGGGAAGCTACAGGGAAACTTGTACCCTGCTCCCACAAAGGTACTGCCCTACTTACTTCAGTGAGACACTTTTTCAGATCGGCGTGTGCCAACTATCGCAGCTCTCCTCAGTGCCAGTATCTGTGATGGGACAAACTAACCAAGAGGTGAGTCAAGTACAGGCAATAACCCTCTCAGACATCACTACCTTTCCCTTTTGAAAAGCTTACAGAGTACTGAAGTACAGTTGAGTTCTTCACTCCTGTTAAACAAACGGGAATCCAGAAGGAAGCTTATGATGGCTGCATTACCATTCTGCAAGGGCAGCTACTGGAAAAATGGTGAGATAAATACATACTGACAATAACCTTCTCTTCCTTCAAGTACATGTTATATTTCTTTCACTGAGAACCAGCCTGAATTACTCTGAGATGCACAGAAAAATGTCCTAAGCAATCTTCTCCAAAGCTGCACTGAATCTACTAATGAGACTTTCGTGACTGCTCTTACAAGTTAACACGTTATATAAGCTTCTGTGCACAGAGATTCTCTATGGGCCAGGCTAGAGTTCCTAGAGAGCCAGGGTATAAGCTAGAAAACTATCAGCAACTCAGCTTGAAGATTCAAGCTGCCTCCAAACCAGACTGCTAGGAGAAGTACAGCGTAAGCAGCATTTCCATGGACAAATTAACCTGCAACTGGTAAGAAAAGAGTTGAGCCATCATTTACCTTGACGCCCCAAAATCATATGTGGAAAATAATTTTGGGGTTCTACCAACTCTTACACCTCGCTGCCAATGTGATTTGCTCCTAGTATGTTAACATGGAGATGTGCCAGGCTACCCCCCTTGGCAATGTTTAAATAAAAGAGACTTCTATCATCCACAAATGCCTAAAGACCAAGGGAACGCACCCATCTTTCCACTGTGTGTGTGGTTGTTAACTACATTTACTCCATTTCTCTTGGGAACTGCAAGAACAAAGTGCGTTCAAGCTCAAGTCAAGTGGGATCAACCTCTCTTAGTCAAATCTTACAAAGTGTCAACAAGTCAAGGAATGACCCTAACAGGGAGTCATTGGAAGGGTTAGGTGCTCCACAGCTCTTTGGACAGTCAGTGAGTTTAAGGAACGTTTCACAAGTTGTAACCACATCCCACACTTATAACTCATGCCAAAGGCGTGCTTTGCTTCTGGATTAATGAGGCAGTCAAGTGACCACAGTACTTGAGAGAGCATGGACAAATTTGCAGGCTGAACACGAAACATGGTTAGGTGTTATCAGTTCTCCAGATGTTCCTCAGTATCACAGTCTTCCAGGCCAGCATCTACTGAACCAATAGCAAGCCTGAAATACCAGGAACTCCAGCAATCCACCAGAAACAAGTCTTGAGTTCAAGGCAGGATTGGGCTTTTCCTCAGGGTAGGGAGTGCCCTCCCACTTTGGTAGCTGTAAAACACCATTGTAGCTCAGGCACTCCCTTGCTTCTAGCACCAAAAAAGCAAACATGGTAGGAGGAGCAGTTTCTGTCCACACAGGCAATCACGACAAAGTTAAAGACAACAGAGAACGCCATCAGCCAAGACAGTACAATTAGCTTTACCATTCCAATAAATTGTCAGTGTTCCTTTAAGGCTGTAGGAGATAACAGGTTGCAGAGTAAACATGCAACTTCTGCATGAAGTTTTCTTAAGACAGAAGCTAGGAAAGATACTTGGATTTTCAAGAGCATCTGGCAGTCATCAGGGGAAAGCTGTCCCAGACAGGACACCAGGATATTCTCATGAGATTATGGGAAGCAGTTTTCCCTGCAGCAGTATTTTTTTTTTTTTTACCATATAAATACATCTGAAGTTTTTAACATACATACTTTATCTCCCTTCCTTCTGTTTTGCTCTGGGGTTCCTTGGGTTGGGAAAAAGGGGATTTCAGGCAAGTTTCCGCAGAAATTCTGTACTGAGGACTTCCCTTTCACTAGGTAAGCATAGTCACACCACCTCCTAACTACAGCTAGAACCACACCTAGCAGAGAGAAGCCAAAGTTCTTGGTCACAGGTTACCCTACAGTCCTGGCATAGGGCAGCTGAAGCCCAGAAACGTCCAAGACTTCAGAAAACAGAAGGGCATCTGTAAGAAAATATCTCTACATACAAACTTTTACAGGAGTACAAAGTCTAGAAAAAAGGGAAAACAAGCGTAAACCTCTTCAGTAACATTACTGCTATCTGAAACTAAACATTGCTCTGTGACCCAATACACAAACATCCCCTCAAAAACACATGCATGCACTTCAAGGACCAGAGAAGTATCCCTTTCAGCCTGCAGCCTTAGCAGCAGATTCACTGCAGACAAAAACTGCTACATGAGCAGAGCCCAACCTCCCACAGCCCCAGGTGACATCACCATCACCTGACAGAAATGCTTCCAGCTTTGCTGACAAGCTTCCATTCTGCCTTATTTTCCACTCCCTATGACGTCTCAGCTTTTAGAGACTCCCAGAACCGCTGCGTTTATAGCATTATAGCTATAGGACGTTTATAGGACTTATAGCTCAAATTGAGGTCATCAGATGGACAAATTTCTGCGGAAGCACACATTTGTTTCACTTGGAGTAGCTGTGAATACGCACAACAGCTTGTTCAGCTCCTCCAGAGGCAACCAAGAATGCCTACTTCTATTTCTGCCTCTTCTGCAAACAGCAGGGACACTGATCGTCCAAGGCCAGGTTCACACGCAAGTCACATGATTACAGCAGCACAGCCTGGTTACATGACAGCCCTCTGATACCTCGCACCCACAGCACTCCCCACCAGTCATCCCACAAAACAGAGAGAACATGTGTTTTACAACAAGGCACCTTCATCATTCGGCCGATTTCATCTACAGCACAGAGCAAAGTGCTGCTTCAATTGCCTGCTCAAACTTTTAACTTCCTACTCCCAATTTAGATTGTACCAGGTTTTACATATACGTGAACTTAAAAGGATTTATGTATGTATTTTAAGAGAAACTAATCTCTCTCTGACAGTAATAACCAAAGAGCGTAGGAAAACATCAACCTTTACACCTAGCTTTAATTCCTGAGAGCCTCCCCAGGGAAGATGCACAGGAGCAGTCGTAAATAGGTCAACCAAAAACCCTGATGGCCTACCAGCCATGCTGTAAGCCTGCCAAGTAACTCCATTAGGATACAGCAAGGGTAGGGAGATTTTTATATGGCTAATTACCTAGCTCGTTGCATAAAATTGGCCTTCTAGGTTGTCACAGCCAAGATGTTAGAAAAAAATCTTTACAGTGCTCTTGTAGGTGAGTCAATTAGCAATCATAGCAGCACTTCAATGAAAAGAGATGTGTTTATTTCTGTTAAAACAGTGACTTCCTACAGAAAAACAGGCCTAACAAGTCCTCTGCTATGCCTACCTGCATTCACATGCCTTTAAGAAGCAGACCAGGTTAACTCTCATTGCTAAACTGGTTTCTCATTACAATTTCCCTAAATACGCTAACAGCAACCTTGGCTGAACATTTTCAAGGCTTTCCACTTTTAAAGCATGGGGAAAAACGATTGTGGTGATTCAAGAACAGCCCCACTAAAATGGGACTGGGTAGCAGGTAACCCAGCACAGAGCCAACCGAGTTAAACCATCCAGAAGATAAACACGCAGAGTGAGACAGCAACATTGGCTTTCTTGCCCGTTTTCCACCAAATCACGCACACAAGGAAGGGCAATACTTGCTTACTGTTAAGTATAACAGCAGCACACAGTTGTGCAATCTCTCTTCCGCACGGTTTACTGCAGCCTGTCAGCACGGTACTGCTATAGCTTTTAATGACCTGGTCAAATGCGACAAGTTAAACTCAGAAGCAAGCAGGCAGGCAGCATGTTTCAATCTACCTTAAAGGAAAACCTGCCAAAAAAAACCAAACAAACAAAACGAGCGAATCGGGGCAGTGCTGTAACAGATCTTCACCCCGTGGATTCCCTGCAGAACCACGGATCACACCCCTCCGCTCCCAAATGCATCACCGCCTGCCTTCAGCCAGGCACCGAACACACGCACTGACCTCCAGCCCAGCGCTGGACAGGCCGCTCCGTTCTCAGCCCCGCAACAGGCTCGGCAGCGGGCCCTTCCCTTTCTCGCAGGAGACCCCAGCGGGCTATCTGAAAGAGCATTAACGCTGACCTACCCCCGAAGGGATGAAGATAAGCCCCCGCCGAAGGCCGCTCCCCCGGGACCCCCTCCGTGCCCGCGCCGCGCCACTACCCGGGGCCGCGTCCCCTGCCTCCCACACGGCGCAGCCTGCAACCGCCCGAGTCAGCGCAAGGAGGGCCCCGGGAGGTGCTAGCCCGTACATACGCCGAGGAAGAGCTGCTTACCGGCCGCCAAGAGGCCGAGGAGGGTCAGCAGTCGTCGCGCCATGGTCCTGCGCCCGCCTGCAATGCGGCGCTCGCGCCCCCGCCCCTATATCAAGGCTGCGTCTGCACACAGCGCGCATGCGCGGCGCCTCCCCCTCCCCCCCCCGGCACCGCTCCCGTGCCTCGCCCCCCGGCCCCGGCCTCCGCCGCCGCGCATGCTCTGTGCGCAGCGCCGCCTGACGGGGCGCGAAATGGCGGCGGGCCGGTGGGAGTTGGGTGTGCGTACCCAGGGCCGGGAGGGAGGTGCGGGCACTCACTGTTCTCACAGGGCCCGTAAGCCGCCTTCTCCGTCTCCGCTCAACACACAGCCCAAATAACGTTAAGTCATGACCAGCAGAACCTACGTTGACTTGATCGCAAAATCATAGGAACGACCTACAAGATAGCTAGTCCAACCGTCCTCCCATCACCACTGCTACCACAAGCACTAACCCGTATCTCGCAGTATCATCCAGGCGCCTCTTGAACACTGCCAGGGACGGCAGCTCCACCACCTCCCTTGGCAGCCATTCCAGTGCCTGACCTCTGAGAGAAAAACTTCTTCCTTATGTCTAGCCTAAACCTCCTCTGGTACAACTTGTGGCCATTTCCTCATGTCCTATTTGTTTCCTGGGAGAAGAAGCTAAAACCCTCCTCATCACAATCTCCCATGCTTTGGAACCCCATTTCTTGCACTTAGCAGGCACCTGTAGGAGCAGGCACTGCAGTGAAACTGCCTTCCACAAAGCCTGACCACCAGCCAGGACTGTGCGGGTCCTTCACACAGTTCTGGCCCTTTTTCTGCCTCCCCTCCTGAAGATGAGGACATTGCACTGCATCACCTGTCCCCACCAGAGCAAAATGGTCTCTTTTCACCCCACAGCGCAATTCTCACCCATGCTTTGGAGAACAGAAAGCTCACTCTGCAGTTAGGATTCGTGCAAGCTCTCCCTGATCTCAGCAGACATGCTGCATCTTTTAATCAACTCTTACAGATGTGGATCTACACACACACAGTGGTTCTGTGTTTGGTACTGACACATTCATTTCTCAAGGAACAAACTCACTGACAACACTTCAGGTTTATTTGCATTTTAAGGTTAGGAGGAAGCAGATCTTTTGTACCGATTCACTATGAAAGCCTATATCTAAATAAGAGTAAGGCACACTTCTCTTACACAGACCTTTCTCAAGTCAAAAGGCAAGTTGGGGCAGCCAAGTTGCAAGAAGACACAGAGACACAGAGCATTCCACAATCGCACCCCGAGGCCCCAAGGACTATGCTTGCCCACTGCCGTGCGCAGTAGGACTGAGATCATTCTCAAACTCAGGTCAGATGGACAGACCCAGCCAGCCAGCAGTATTGGCCAGACTAAGCAAACAACCTTTACTCTGGTCCCAAAGCCATTTTGCTTAGACAGAGCTCAACATGCCTCTCTTATCTCTCATGTGCACACAAACTGTTGACAAGGCACCTTGTCTTTCTAAGCCAAGTCAGCTACTAGCTCAGGAGCACAAAAAAACAGCTTGGTGAGGAATATTTAGAATTGGGGTAGGGGGGCTCAAATAGGACTATTTGGAAAATGAGCACTGTTTCAGCAGGTACGGTGGTTTCCCATTGGGAACTGAAGGCCAGGGATGGAGAACAAAGATGGAGCTTCCTGGTGCCACTTCCAGTTTATTTGCATTATAGGCACCAGGACAGGCACTGTCAGCTTAAGTTCCCTGGAGCTTTGCCAATTCTAGATATTTGGGGACTTTGTTTTTTTTTACATACACGACTGCCACCTTCCTAACTGACACTGTGATACATATAGCTTTCTCCATTTTAACAAATCACCTAGTAGTTTTCTCACTTAAAATGGAATTAAAGAAAATTACATGGCACCAAGAGATCAAGCGCTGGCCATCTGCCACAGCTGATGAGGCTATTTACAAGAGGAAACCCCAAAGATCAGGTAGTCCTATTGAGACCAGGTATAGCTCACAGCTGTGAGGAACCAAGGCATGCAGGGAGACCTCATCCTGACAGCAGGAGCCACAGTTGTGCACCATCTACCTAGCACTCTCTGAAACAGAGGGGGACCTTCTGTTGGACAGACAGCTTGTTGAGACAATGCCTACAAGATGCAAGCGTTCCTTCTCACAGCTCTACAGTTTCCTTGTTCAAAAGCCTGTGCAATTCAGTGATCCAGAACTACAGCTGTTGTTTAACAATAAATAAATAAATAAAGTCGTGGACTGGTTACCCAAGAACTTGTTTTCAGCCCCACTTTGAGAAGCACAGAGAAAGTGAGTAGGAAGAGCCTTGGGCTGGGAAGCTGCCAGAGCAGGGACTCTCCTGCAGCAAACCCATGACTCATGCTCAGAGGCTGGCAGCCAGCAGTGCTGCTCCACCAGCAACCAGTCCAACTGGGCTGGCAGCAGGGCCCGGCCGGCTCCGGGAAGCCTGATGCTTGGTTATGTCAAGCCTACGGCGCACAAATTCCTCCCAGGGCCACCTCCACCTCCTCGCTGTATTCCCCGCTTTGCGCAAGTGGCACACACACGAGCCGTCTGTGTTTGGCAATGTCGGGAGGCCAGCCAGAGGCCCTGCAGGCTCTGCTTTTGCAGTTGCAGAGACAGCTCTGCAGGAGAAGTGCTCTCATTGCCAAAATTAAAAGAAAAAAAGAAAAAAAAAGAGGCACTTTTTGCAGCAGCGCAGCTTTTAGATCTCTTTGCATTTCCATTCCGACTGCACCAAGCTGTCAATGAGGAAGCAAAAGCAAGCCACAAATTACAGCCTTACAGGCTTGGGAAGAGCCTTGAGCACATCTGAAACTTATGCCAGCTCAAGCAGCAGCAGCCTCCGCATGACTCATTGACATCTCGCTGGGTCCCGGCTCAGGATGGGCTCCCTGCAGCATGCCAGGTGCTCTGCCCCTGTCCTTGCCACCAGCACAGTGCAGAGGAACAACTCCGGCACCAGCATAGTTCATTCTGCTGCTCCAAGTCCTTCACATCCCCGGCACAGCAAAACCAGCCCTGCCCCACAGAAGCAGACAGTGTTGTACTGGATTAGTGACCTGAATCAGCCCAAGGCAGCACGCAAAGAGCCAGCAGGGCAGTGGGAGGGAGGCCTTCCAGCGTCCCTTGCACCAGCACTAACAGCCCAACCTGGACCCAGGGTGCTGCCTGAGCCCCGATGGCAGCAGTAAGGACCAGCCCCTTTTGGCAATGCTCAGCACTGCTGGCATGGCAGCCTTGCTCCTTCCCACGTTCTACAACTTAATTATCTAAAGGGGTCAGATCAAGTGCACCGGATTTTCCAAGCAAAGCAAAACAAAACCTCAAATCTCTCTGCAGAGAGTTCTCACTTTTCTGTATTTCTTTTGTCCTGCCACAAGTTTTTTATTATAGATAGAAGCTGATTTTTTCTTCAGTTTTTTCTTCAGCATTTTACGTACTGCTTGGTGGGATTACTCCACCCCACTAGGGAGGGACGTATCCCAATTCACTGCACTGCGCTTTCAAACCAGATTAGCTACAAAGAGTCAGAGGACAGCAGCCTTAAATGCTTTGCCCTCCCAAGCCAGGATTTCTGACTGGTGCTCCCAGGGCCTGAGAGCACAGAGTCAGTAGAAAAGCAGAAGAATTGATAATTTAGCATTGCCTTGCAAAGCCCGTGCTTCAAAGGAGATGCATACTGTGCAGATTCCCATTTCTGCTCTCATTGTGTCATCTTCCCAAGGCTGTAAGCAGTAAGAATGCAGCCAGGCAAACCTCCGCTACCAGCATGCAACTGCCTTTGAAGGGGAAACAGCTTGCTTTTTGTAAATCGAAAGGAGAATTAAGCCCTAGGTTTGTTCTAAGTATGACTTTCTCCCCATCCCCCAAGAAATCATTAGGAATATACACATATATACCTAGGTCACCCAGGAAGAAAAAAAAGGAAAAATGAAAAATGAAGTTTAAAATATATATCAGAAATCCCAAGCAAATTAAAACAAAATTAAAAAAAAAAAAAAAAAAAAAAAAAACCAAGGAAAAGAGGAGGGAGATTTTAGGACATCTTTATTCCCATTCGTGCTACAACAGAAGAAGCCCCAAGGGACCCCCAGAAAATACTGTCCCCTTCTCTTCCCCACCTTATCTATCATGATTTCTAACAGATGACTCCAGCTTCTTATCGGGAAATAAAACCCTCTGCAATAAAAGGAGTGGGTTTGATGCTTTTTTAGGTTTTCAGCAATAAAAGTGAGGGATGAACAAAGGAGTGTGCTTACCTAATCCCATCGTCACTGCTCCCCTTCCCTCAGTCGTGCTGTGCTGTTGCATTGAAGCTCACCAGTTTCTGAAAGCAGCTAGCTCTTGGAAAGTGCATTTTTCCCATTAAAGAGCTGCTTTTTGAAGGTGCTTTTAATGCATCAGTTCTATTAAAAAAAAAAAAAAAAAAAAAAACAAAAAAAACCTTTAAAAACCTTTGTTCCCCATTTCTAAGAGCTTCTCAGAAAGGATGGCATTAAAAAAAAATAAGCTTTAACCTGAGTCTTCAAAGTCTAGGAGGGTGAAATAAAAGAGAAAAGCCTTGATGAGAGAAGTCTCATGGCTTCCACCTGCCCACAGCAGCCTTTGGGAACCCACACCTGGCTGCAGCCCCAGCATAGCCCTATAGGGCTTCCCAAAGCAGGCACCATAAGGCCAAGCTGTGATGTGGGGGGGGCACCCAGCATGGGTAGGGTTTCTCTTCCACCACATTTATCAGTGTGAAGTGGAGGGAGAGGGCAGTATCTTCCTGTCAAAGAGCTCTCTTGCGGAGTGAGCATTGCTTCCATGTGCCTTTGTCCACAGTGATCAAACCTAGGTGTTGCTGGATGCTACAGAGCACAGCCCCACGGTAATGGGCAGCACACTGCTCATCCTCCACCACCTCTTCTACCTTCTTGTTGCCTCTGGGCTGGCTCCTGCTTGGTGCAGTGCCATTGCCTTGCTTCTGTGCTGTTGCTACCAGTCAGAAATGGGCAAAACACAGCTGCCAAAAATCAAAAAGCTTTTTATAAAGCAGAGGCCTGAGGGTTTTTTTTATTATTATTATTTGCTTTCTGCTTTGCAGGTTTTCAAGGATTACTCTT